TATAGTTAATTTTAGGCTGTTACCTAGTTAACTTAGAGCTTATACAGTAAGGACAGTATAAATCCTCTTCCTTTAATTTTTCTAAAGGAATTCCCTTAGTTAACTTAGCTGTTTTAACTAAGTAAGGATAAAAAGGATAGCCTAATTTTTAATACTATTCTTTTGTTATAGTAAATACCTCTTCTTTAGAGGTATTATCTTCTATATTAGAAGATATATTTTCTTTAGTATTTTCTAGAGATAAAGAAGGGCCTTTTTCTTCTTCTATATCTATATTATATAGAAGATTATTTTTAAGAGGATAAGTAATATTTAAATAAAAACCTCTTCTTGCTATATTAATATTAGTAAAAGGTTCTCTATTACTATTATAAAGATTCTAGTTAATAAGGAATCTACCTTCTTTATAGTGTAAAAGGCCTAAAAATATAGATATAGGAAATTCTAGTATATATAAGGTATTCTTTAACCTTATATAGTTAATTTCTCCTTTAAAGTAAATAGGAAGTAAAACAGTTCCTATTCCTTTAGGTTTAATAGGTCCTACTCCTATATTAACTATAGAAATATTTTCCTTAGTTAATAGGTCTAGGTAAAAGTCCTTATTATTTAATATATAGACTATTAAACCTATATTATATAACTATTTATTTCTTTAATTTAAATAGTTATAATAGGCCTTATAAGTGTAATATTTACCTTTTTAGTTATCCTCTTCTAGAGGCTAGTTAGCTTAATAGTTTATAGTAAAAGTTACCTTTTCTTTGCCTTTAAAAGGCTATAGGTTTAAATCTAGGTTGTTAACCTTTTCTTTAGGTCTTTTATACCCTTTATTTCCTTACTTATAAGGTTTTTTATCCTTATTAAAGGGATTCTTATAATCTTTAGTAAAGTTACCCTTATTAAAAGGGTTATTATTTCTACTATAATTATTAGATATAGGCGTATCATTTTCACACCAGTTTTTATCTAATATATTATTAATAAGGGCTTCTAGAGAAAAAGGCTCTTTAGTTCTTAAAGCACTTCTCTATCTTTCTGCCTAGATAAGAAAATAGCTACTTAAAGCAGCTATAAAGACCGTTTTTTAGTCTATATCTTCTATTTTAGCCCCTACATTATTTAACTTAGAGATATAACCTTTAAAAAAGCTAATAAACTTATTTAAAGTATTATAATTCTCTAGTTTAATAGCGTAAAATTCTAAGTATAATTATTACCTTAGAACAGGGCCTGTTCCCTTATAGGATAATTTTAGTATATTTAAAGTATCCTTAGGATCCTTTAAATTAAATACTAAAGATAAGGGATTTTTTTAAAGATTCTGCCTTATAATTAACAAGGCCTATGTTTTTTATTCTTTAGAGATATCCTTATATTTTATCTCTTCTTTAAAATAAGTATTAAGCTTTAATAGCTTAAAAAAAAGATAAATAGAAGTAATCTAGGAATTCTAATTCTTTGTACCCTAGAGACGTTATTCTAGAGGTAATAAACAGCCTGTAGTAGCCTTAATAATATCCGCTATTTTTTCTAGTATTTTACTAGATTTAAATAGGTATTCTTATAACCTATAGAGGTCTTACTCTTTTTACCTCTTTATAAATATATATCTTTATATATATAAGATATATAGGCAGCTAGAGGATTTTATAGCTGCTATTAAGACTTATACTACCTCTTAGATAAAGGACCTTATGCTGCCTATAGTAGGACTTATACTACCTTTATCTATAGTAAATATTTAATACTTCTTTTAGTTATAAGAGATACTAAGGGCTTACTCTTTCTGCCTTAATATTCTTATAAAGAAAAGATAGTATAAGGGATCTACTTTATAGATAGATAAATAAATAGGCTACTTAAGAGTATATATAACTCTTATAGTAATAAAGATACCCTAGGTATATTACCTAGGCTTATAACCTGTTAGCATAACAGGTAAGCTAGTCTCTTAGATAGAGAATTCTAGCTTAGGAGAATATAAGAGAGTATATCTCTTATATAAAGATATATCCTATAGAAGCAAGAATATAGGATAAAAGGGAGATATAAATGCTTATACCTAGGGTAGATAAATAGAGGATATAAGGATATATAGTTAAAGAGAGTATAGTAGTTAGATTATTAACTATTTGCTTGCTTAGAGAGAGAAGGAAAAGAAACTAAAAACAGGAAGAATTCTAGCCCTTATATAGACCTATACAGCTTACTAGAATATTCCATACTTACGTAAGCTGCTTATAAATCAACCCTTAGTTACGTAACATAATAACCCTAAGTAAATAACCCTAACTTAAAACAATAACCTAGATAGTTAGAAAGAGGAGTAGTAGAGCTAATCTTGCTCTTCTTAGAATCTTCTAGCACCTTCGGTTAATTACGTAATTATACTGCTTACGTAATTAATATATATATTAATCTACTAAGTTAGTAGATTATAAATATATATATCTTATATATAGATAATCTCTATAATAGAGGAAATATAAGATAAAGAAGTATAAGAATACTTAGAGATATTCTTACTTCTAATATATAGTAAATAATCTATTATTAGATACTAATAATATACTAAGCTATATTAGTTTATTTCTTAATCTAAGGAATAATTCTTACCTTATAGTTTAATTTAATTAGGATAGGCTTATAGCTTTTAACCTAAGCTTTATATATATAATCTTTTTAAAATCTAGTGTGTATTATATATATTATACTGCTTATTTCTTAGCTTTTATTAAAACTTAATTAGAAATATTCTTAAAACCTTCTTACTTACGCTAGGATTTTTTTCTTTATTATAAATTCTTTTACTTTAGTTTATAAGGCTTCTATCTATATAGCTAAGTCTAATATAACACTAAAGTAATAGAAGTCTTATACTAAAGTGTATAGGCATACTTTACTACTAGTGTAGTTATAAAAGTAATAAGTAATAGGTATATCTTTAAGAGCTATACTTATAGTTAGGAATTCTAACCTTATTACTTTTATATTATACTATATTTATAATAGTATTAGTAAATTATTTACTTTAAGAATAGTATACTATATAATTAACTATAGTGCTTTAATTTCTTTTAGTAATAGTAATTCTATTAAGATAATAAATACTATACTATCTTCTAATATATTTAGTATTTTAGGGATTACTATAAGAAAGTAAATATAATTAATAGTAAGAATATTTTTATTTACTTAAGATTTATTATTTACTAGACTTATATCTAATATAAGAATAGGCTTAATATCTTATAGTTATATTATCTATTAATTTTTCTTAGTTTTTTTTATATACTTTTAAATAGAAAATTATACTTTACTTAATAATAATAAGTTTCTTAGATAAGATCTATTTATAGTTATAAGCTTAAATAGATAAAAAACGTAATATTATTCTAAATAATATCTTAACTTTTAATTAAACTTTAGAACTTATCTTTTAGGATTTATAGCGTTAGGAATAGTCTAATATCTTCTATATATATTATGTTTTTTATATTTAGCCTTAGTAAACTTACTATTATACTAGTAGTATTAGTAAAAACGTTTTAGGAATATTCCTAAAACGTTTCTAATACTACTAAATTACTATAAATCTTTTTTAGTTTAGTCTAAGTTAATTAAGAGATATTCTAAAAATATTTCTAGCGTTTTTACTATAAATCCCTTATTTAAATTATATTACTACTATTATTTAGTAGTATAAGTACTTTATTAGTATATAAAAAAACATTTAGCTAATAAGTAATTAGTCTAGAAATATTTCTATATAATATCTACCCTACTTATATATTCCTAAATTATTTTCTAATTAGTCTAGAAACGTTTCTACTATATATACTCTAGAAATTTTTTTTTTTTTAGAAATATAAATCTACATAAGCCTATTAGCTAAATCCTTATCTAGCCGTATCTATTATGTGCGGACCTTTGCACGGGCCATTGTGCACAGTACTCTGAGGTTACTGGGGGGGGGACACTGTGAGCTTGTCTGATCACTCTCGGAAGAGCCGGGGTAAAAAGGTGAATAAGGATTGGTAGAATTCCCATCTGGAATTCTTAATCGGGGATTTTTCATGCAAGACGGAGGAACGGGTGCGGATCAATCAGGGTTACTGGTTATGCAGGCATTAGCATGCATGATGCGCCTGTCGAAAGGCCTTCTTTCTATGGCAACACGCAGAGGTATGTGGGCGGACAGAATCCAAGCTTGAGTTGGACTCAAACGTGGCTATGCGACATGGGCAACATGCATACCTTGTATTGATGGTTGTTTCTTTATGCAAAACCGAGGAGGACGCGACTAGCCGATGGGTTGCCCATACAGACCGGCCCCGACTCCGCATATGTTTGACTGATCGACATCGGCGCCGACGGGACAGCCCTGGATACAACGACGGAAAATGACCCCGTTTCACGCCCATAGCTTGGTGCCAACAAAGTGCCACCAACATGGATATTCCCCGACCATGATTCCATCAAATTCCGCCCGTTACTCGTGAGCAACACCTACAGTCCAGAAGCCCTAAAGAACAGCGCACCATAGCGTGTCATGCTAGAGGGGAAACACCGGGTTTTACCCTCCCCTCGAGAGAGCGAGGAAGGGAAAGCTCCCATCTCATATGCTAGTCTATGCATCGAGAACGAATCGTCATTCCTGGGAGTATGGCTTTTCCACGCATACACATACACATAGGTGACCTGTGCCACCTTAAGACGGACCGCCTTGGCAACATACCTTAGCATACATATAGGTGGCTGGCTATGCCCGCTCGCGGCCCCGTTTCCCCGCCATTACCCCCCCAACTTCCATTCCACAGTCAACCTTCAACAGAGTGCCTGATACACCAGAAAAAAAAATAGCTCTCCGACAGCTCTCTCTTACAATACATATTGCGGCTCGAAGCTTCCAGAGATCTCTTGTTCGTCCTTGAGACTTCTACGCCATGCTACACGGGTTCGAACCCAGCCAAGGCGAGACACCGAGAGATCCATCCATGGACATTGACGAGAAGAGCACTGCCTTCTCCCAGGCTCAGATATCAGCGCCTGTGAGCATCAAACCTCCCGCCGATACCCATAGCTCAGGCTGACCGGTTTTCCACGTCTAGGCGAGAGAGGGAAGGAGGCAAACGATTGACACCTCGATGATGACGACCGTCATCCCGGAGCCCACGCCGCCTGCCGGCGAATCCCAGCGCCGATTTTTCTGGCTGCCGCGTTCGGCCACACCTTCCCTGCGAAGTCCTACGTTTCGCCGGCGAGTGACGAGCCCGTACGACGACGACGACTACGCGTACTCGGAGAGCAACCCGTTCGGGGAAGACTTCAGGGAGCAGAACGAGCAGGCCGAGAGGGACTGGGACTACGACGACGATGAAGACGGCCACGACCACGACCACGGCGAGAACCCGTTCGAAGATTGCGAGTACGAGCTGCCGCCGGCGACGGCGAAGAGGGAGGGGACGTGGACCAAGTTCAAGAAGGCGATGAGTCCCAAACGCGCCATCAGCAAGTGGAAATATCGCAAAGTCAAGCACAACGGGCTCCAACCGGACGAACCGGATCGTGGAGACCCCCATGGACAAGTCTCTTGAATCGAACCATACGGGGGGCGGGGGCTTTGAGCACCACTCGGCACGACGCCAACGGCTTCTACGGAAGCATGAAGAGGAGAGCGAGCTTGGGTAGTCGACTCTCGACGAAGAGAACGAGAAGAAAAAAAAAAGGCACAAAAAAAAAAGAAGAAGAAAAGAAAAAGACACGATATCAAATCTTTTCCTTTGCAACAGAATGGATAGTTGCCGGTTGATTTTTTCTTCTTTTTTTTCTTGATTCCTCAAGATGAGGCGTCTGAAAATCCTTTGTATCATCCCAGACCATTAGCCTTGCCATGGAAAAATGTCGGGAGACCAGGTGTCTCTGATGCGCAAGTCCAGATACCATCAATCATTTACGACTTGAACTAGTCGTGTTCCAAAGTCTAGCATGCTCATATGCAGCGTCTCTTTTCCGGCACAAAACGAATCGCCGTGGTCAGACCAAAGCTGGTATTCGTACCCTCGGTCGGGGCACCTAGATGCATGCCGTTGAAGTGTGTGGTCCTTACAGAATGGTGTTCTTATGCGACAAGCCGTAAAAGCATGAAAGACTAAAAAGCCGTTTGCGAATCGTGGAAAGGGAGAGGGGGGCAGCACGGGGCTCAAGACATGGCAGCGTAGTATTTGTGGGTTTTATTCACCTGGGGTGAAGGACACAGGATGCCTGGAAGTTTGGCGCGCAGGACTAACCAATTCTTGAGATTTCACTTCACAGGTTTGTATGGTTACTCGACGTTTCGGCTCGTCTTGCATTTTGGAAGGTATTAAAGGCAATGATCTGAATCTTGGTGACTTCCAATTTGGCAGCATCAAATATGCTGGATGTACTCAGACTTGTACCAAGATCGACTGCAGAAGTAAAAAGAAGTTGTCATGTGTCTTTTAGTGACCTCAGACGCATGTCAAGTGTCTCGAGCAATAACTGACGTAAATAGGGGAAAACGATAGCTCGGACGACCAGCCGAGTACTCATGCGATGGAGCCTACGATATTAATCTTGCTCCGAGTCTTGGATACTTTCGCCTCCCTGTCTGGATTGCGGACGGAAATAGTGTACACAAATGCCTAAATGAGGAATGGATAAACTTGGGTCAATCATATATCCACAACTTCTCGTCTTGGAAGACAGATCTTGCCAGGCAAGCGGATCGCATGCTGTTGCATTGCTGGGTAGGCATTCCAGGCCCGTCCTCTCGGTGGTTGTGGCACAGCACATGTCACTATAGGTGGACGGACGGGTCTTGGAAGCTAACAGCGCCTCATCCCGCGTATGCAGAGAGAACTATTCCCGACATTCATGGGCCGAGCAATCCAAGGTGAAATATTGGAAATCCCTGCCTGCGGTCGCAACCCAGCGCGAAGACAGTCAATCAAAGGGTAGAGAGGGATGTAAGCTGCTGCTAGACTGCAGCTGGTTGGGCCAATGAAGTTTTGGGATCAGGGCAGGACGGTGGCATTGTGGAGTGTTATCCCCCCTCGAAATAGCAGCTTCCTTCAGGGTCGGGGCTGTTTTTTTTTTTTTTTTTTTCGTTTTGTTTCTATTGGATTGCTTTTTGTTTTCCTTCCCCTTTGTCCCTCTCGTCCGGACCCGAAAACCACCCCCCCAGCAGCGTGGATCGACAGATCAACCCAAGGGCATGCCGTGTTGGGCTCGGGGGCTCGAGTGTCGCCGCCCCGGGAGAACCTGACGATGATTGACTATAGATCAGCAGTGATCGCCCGGGAGGGGCATCCGCATGGATATCCTCAGTTGTGGACGTTGATCCAGCCGAGTCGCTGCAGCATATAACGACGACTTCCGATTAGTCCGCCTTCTTCCCAGCGGGTGATTCCATGTCGCACGATGTGTGTTCAATGACGATACAAGATAATATGTATTGCTGCAGCCATGTCCCCTTGCCTCGTCGGCAACCGGGGCGGCCTACAGCTGTGGCGGTCTTTCTGCGCAATCCCTGGGCACTCCGGAGAGCCTGTCGGGCGTGAAGGGGAAGGAAACAAAAAGCATCCCGCGATGTCTCTGTTGTCCCTGCCTTCCAAGCTCGTCGTGCCACGGTACGTTAGTCCGGAGGGGGGGCGGCACATCCGATGAGGACATGCATCTCACATGGAGACTTTGTGACAAGCCCGGCTAAGGTCAAAACAGTACCACGCCATCGCCCGGGCCGATCGCTTTTCGTCCCAGACAAAGGACAATTATCTATTTAGGGTTTTGCCGACTGATGTCACGTCACTCGGCTTCCCCACTGACAGAGAAGCCTACGCCAAGCGCCGGGACGCAAGGCGGGAGGAAGCCTTCCCGAAAGAGGCCGCCCCTTTCTCTACGGTACCTCCCTTGCGCGTGCCGTCATTGTCCACCAGCTCTCTGTCTGTCTCATTCTCTTCTCCAGATCTTGGATTTCCATCTTTGCTTTTCCCTCTCGCTCACCCCTCGCGCGTTTGGAGAGACAAGATCCACACTGGGGAGGGGACATCAGCTGGTGTCCGAGCGCGCTGAAGGGCGAACAGCATCGAACCCAGTCCTAACTTGCGGCCCATCGGGTTTTAACATCCGACTCGAATGGATATTGCTTGGCCGTGTTCGATCGGCAGTGGTCTGATGTGTGCAGTCTCCCAACCCCCAAGCGTGCCATGCACCATCCCGCAGCACAGCGATATTATCAGCGTTCCAGGCGCCTCAGCCAAGACTTCGAGAAGGAAATCGGCGTGCATCTTCATGCCGTCCCGGCTTCGGCGCCTCGTGTCGGCATCTTCCCCAAAGGCCACAACCCCCTGTTTCCCCCGGGGGGGAGAGGAGGGCCAGGGCGGGAAATCGATACGTAGCTTTAGCATTTACCCCAACGTCATGTTTTCGTCGGCCAGGCATGAGGGGTGAAGTCGAGTTTTAGTTCCTGCAATGACACAGCACTTATTCCAGCGAGACATAGACTCGGATCCTTTCTGACGGGCAGACTCTCGGCCATTGAGCCTATTTCGATCGTCCGCGCGTATCTAAGATATCCCGCTCACACTATAGCGGCACTTTTTTTTTTCTGGAACCATTAGATGGGCGATAAGAGGTGGCCAAAGTTGTCTCACGACCTCAATGGGCATCTCTTGTCCAGGTGTCTACCTCTAATTCCAAGACAGATGGCCCATTATGGTGTCTCCGAGACTCGCTAGACACGAAGAGGGACGTTTCTGTCTCATAGAGAAGTTGGAAACAAAACCGGTTATCTCGTGGCCTTTTTCACCCCCCCCCTCCCCCCATTTCTGGTTTCCTGTCTTGACATTCTGGGATTCTCCAAACCGAACGCCCATTATAGCTCGATATTCCCTGGAGTAAGCCGCCAAGTGGGAATCGAGCGAGATACGGAAACGGAGGCTGCGCTAGCTCCACCGCCCGTCTCCCTCAACAGTCAGGCCCTCTAAGCTTGTGGTCGACGCTGAGCTGCTATCATGCATCCATCATGCAGCCTGTTACTAAGATATCCTGCCCCGCGCGCCACGTTCCACGACCAAGGCTGTTGCTGAGGAGGAAAGAACTGATAGTGCCAGATCTAATGACCAATCCGACCGTGAGCCTTTCCGAACCCGTCATCAACCACTATTTTGAGACGCGGCCGCCGGCTTGGCCGCCCCCACTGCGACGGCAGCCGCAGTCCGCCCCCCCCCCCCCCCCCCCCCCCACCCCCCTCTCTCTTTCTCAACGCAGCCATGCGGCGTCGAATCCTCTCCTGCCTTAAAGGGCCGCCGCCCCTGCGCCACGTGACTGCATCGGAGAACTGCCATGACTGTGAATGTCACTTCAATGTTGCTAATCGAATCCTCCTCGGCGGGATTAGGTCTGACGTCCAATGGGTTCTATTTTCACTTCGTCGTGTCCGCTGCCGCCGGTTGTGGCGCGCGTAGCCTTCGACATATGACACATGTGAAGAATCCTTGAAGATATTGTTCTTAAAGATCATGAAGGGGGGGAGTATATATCGGGCCATCAAGGCCCTCCCTCAGCTCATGATGGCATCTTGGTTAGTCACACAAGGAATCAAAACACACTGCCAAGTGGCTCTCCTTCATCTTTCCCATCCTCTTTGCTTTTTCTTTCGCCCTTCTTGGTTCCTTTTTCCGTTTGTAGTCCATCTTCAAGATTAGATTTCCTTTTGCACGTCTCTCATCGCCTCACTCTGCCATATCTCTAGCATCATCTTTCGTATACCTAGGGTCTGGTTTCTCCTTCCCTCTATCTCTTCTCTCCTCGACCTCTTCCTGTGAGTAGATGATGATGTGGGACGCTGTTACATCGTAACACTGATCCATAGTCTTAGCGTCTACTTATATCACTTACCAACATGTCCTTCAGAACGTCTTCCTCCGTCACCCTTCCCGTGGGCGAAGATGTCGAGCAAGACCACACAAGTATGACAAGAGGCAACGAGCACACATCCGGACACAACGTGACTCCTCCCGCGAGGGCATTTCTCTTGAGCCAGAATTCGTCTTCCCGCACTCTTGTGGCGCGCGAAAGCACCAACCAGAGCCATGAGACGTCTTGGACAATAGCCAGTTCAACTGACGTTGACGACGATGAAGATGACGAGGACGGAGTCGTTGTCCCTTCCAAGAAGGGCACCCGCACCTACCGATACCTCCGCTGGAACTTTGGCTCCGTCTACAGGCGAATCTTCACGCTCGCTTTTATCGGCAATATGGCGGCCCTCGTCCTCGTCGTCGTTCGGTCCCTGCTCGGGGGTCCTTCCTCTCGCCTCACCCCGGGGACTTGCGCCACCGCCGTCTCAGCCAACCTCCTCGCCGCCCTCTTCATCCGTAACGAGCACACCGTCAACGCCATGTTCAAGGTCTTCGTCCTCTTCCCCGCCGCCAGGACGCCGCTCGCCATCCGCCGCGCCTTAGCCAAGGTCTACTCGTATGGCGGCATTCACAGCGGCTGCGGTGTCGCCTCCTTCTTCTGGTTCGTGGCCTTCCTCGTCGTGATCACGGGCGACTTTGCAAACCCCAATGCCGTCCGCGCCTACATCCTCCTCGACAGCTACCTCATCTGCGCCCTGCTCGCCGCCATCATCGGCTTCGCCCACCCGCGGGCCCGCGTCCTGCTGCACAACTGGTTCGAGGGCACCCACCGCTTCCTCGGCTGGTCCGTCATCCTCCTCTTCTGGGCTCTCGTCATGATGCTCGCCGAGGACAGCAGCAGCAACAGCGCCGCCGCGGTCCCGTACGCCGCTGCCCTCGTTGCTACCCCGTCCTTCTGGATGCTCATCGCCATCACCCTCCTCGTCGCCTACCCCTGGACGCGCCTCCGCCTGCGCGACGTCGAAGCCGAGGCCATGTCGGACCACGTCGTCAAGCTCAACTTCGACTACGCCGACGTCCACTACGGCCAGGCCGTCCGCCTCACCGACGCGCCCCTCCGCGAGACGCACGCCTTCGCCGTGATTCCCAATCCCGCGGCCCCTCGGACCGCCGACGACGTCGAGAAGGCCCGGCAGGGGCTCTCGAACGCTGGGAAAAAGGGGTTCTCGGTGCTGGTGTCCAACGCCGGCGACTGGACCGATAAGATCATCAGGAACCCGCCCAAGAAGATGTGGACGCGCGGCGTGCCGCAGTACGGCGTCCTCCGCGTGGCCAGCCTGTTCGAGCCGTGCATCGTCGTCGCCACCGGCTCCGGCATCGGCCCCTGCCTGAGCCTCTTCGTCCAGAAGCCAGACCACCCGGTGCGTATCGTCTGGTCGACGCAGCGACCCGCTGAGACGTACGGTCAGGCCGTCATCGACACCCTCTACCGGGCCGACCCCGACGCCGTCATCATCGACACTAAGAAGACGGGCCGCCCCGACCTAGTTGCTATCACCTACCGCATCTGGGAGACCAGCCGCCGTCGGGCCCTGGGGCTCGCGCAGAACGAGGGGGGCGTCGCGGCAGCGGCGGCGGCGGTGGCGAAGAATACGGGCCCCTGCGAGGCGGTGGTCATCATCTCCAACCAGAAGGTGACGAGGAAAGTCGTCTACGGCCTGGAGAGCAGGGGCATTCCCGCCTACGGGGCCATCTTCGACTCGTAAAAGCCCCTCCCCCAGCACGAGCCGATTTTGTTTTCTTCTGCGAGTTTTGTAACTTTCTTGCCTTTTTTCCCCCCTTTTCTTTCTTCTCCCTTTTCCCACCTGACCACATCTGGTCAGTCCCCTTAGACGCATACACTGTAAAAGAATTGCATAGCGGGCATTGGAGTGGCATGGCATGCGTTGTTTTGGCGGGGGTTTATACCAAATTATCAGAATTTTACTCATAAAGACATACTATGATACATGTAGACCTCGCTTGGCTTGGCTTTTTTCTTCTGTGCCTCAGGTCGTTATTTCTATGCTGTACCTCTCTTGGCGGAATCGTCGTAATAGACCCATTATTGACTATGCCTTGGCGCGTTATTTTAGTGTTGCTTCAGGTTGTTTCTCTTCCACTCCTTGCATTGAAAACCATTTTGCCGTTTTGGTGAGTTTCCCGTAAGAAATACAATCTTGAGCGAATCAGTTTTGCTTCGTCAAGCAATATAGGAAATTGAGAGGGACCATTCCAACAACCCAATCACACTGGTCGGTTAGCTCAGTTGGTTAGAGCGTGGTACTAATATTTCACCTGAAATGTTGTGTAATGCCAAGGCCGGGAGTTCAAGCCTCCCACTGATCAATTCTTTTGCTTTTGTATCGCGATGAGACTCCGCGTCGTGTGTACGTACGCCCCGCGTGTTTATCTATTGTTCCAATATCTCCATCCCTCCGGGTCAGCCAGCAACGTTGCAGAAGGCGCCTTCGGTTTCTTCTTGTCCCTTTTGATCTGGTTGGGAACCAATTTTCACTGACTGAAAGAGTGTGGGGAGGGAGCACAGCACACGCCTTCTGTTGTACTGTCCAATAGGATGTAAGTAAGTACCTTTTATAGGCTGGAACACGCAGCAAGGGAAAGGTACTGCTGGTCCACGGGCTGTATGTACACGTAGTGTCTGTCGCTCTTGCCTGAATCACTCAATCGCACTGGCCTCCCACAGTGGTCCTTTCCCTCTGAGTCTGTCGAAGAAGGAAAGGACGACGAATACGCACGTCTATCCGTTCTTGCTCTAGTCCCACCGGCTGTCTCTCATCTCCATCTCATCCATCTTCAAGACAACAGCACGCAATCTACAATGAGGCTTTAACATGCCAATACATTATCGACCTGTCACGACATTGGTCATCCGGACTTGCCCTCTTGCCACCATTACAGATACCCGACTAAGCCACCTTGAGAAGGCCTCTGTTGCAACCATCTCACTCTCAACTGAAGCTCCAGATTGCCTCCCGCCCACGATCCCGCCGAGAACACCATCGTCCTGACAAATGGGACGGATGACCCCCGTCGAGGCGACGGATCCGGACTCGGAGCTTGATCCCGCTTCCTCGTTGCGGCCCGCCAACACGAAAATTTCATATATTACCATGCCCGCCACGAATTGAGGTGGATGCAAGTGTGACCGCCTTCACCGGCAAGCCTCCACGACAATGGCTTGGCTTCGCCAATCGACACCGTTGCCGACTTTTTGTCGACCTTGGCCTCGGGCGACGCAACACCGTATTGTCCCATCGCGGCGAGCCGAAATGAGCCATGTTAGGCGTTAACTCTCAGATTAACCGGGTTCCGCCTGCCATTTGTCGCCCCCCCTCCATCAGACATCTTGACACGCCGAATGACGATTAACAGATGCACGAACCCGTGGGCCGTAGGTACTATCACCTCTTGGCAGAAAACATCCCTACCGATCCCTTAATTTCATCTATTTTGAAAAGAAGTGGCGGGAGCTCTGAATCGTTCTCGACACGGCCTGTCCATCAGCCCAGACACTGCACGCTGTTTTCCTCAAATACCTGTGTGTATGTGAGGGACGTGGAGGGCAAACGCTTGCTTCTGAAGCATTCATCTCCTGCAATCTATAAGAAGCCTAGGCGGTGGCGTTGTCTCGGTATACGTACAGGGGATCGACAAATAACATGCAGCATACACCCGCAGCGAGGCAGGCACATGGTCAATATGCCTCAAAGGTGGTATCCAAATGGTCCTCTACCCCTGACAAGAGGCCGAGATGTGCCCAGGTGACAAACTTGGACCTGGACCAACGATACCCCCGTTCGTTGGGAAACCCGGATCGGATTGCCGCCGCACCGCAACGAGAGAAGCGCCCTGCTGCCTCCGCATTCCCCGTTCCTGGCGGTGCGCTGCAGCCTGTTTTGACCTCACTTGGCCGTTCGAGGGTGAGTCGCGGGACATTGCATCGCAAACGTCTATCCCAAGTCGTCGAGAACCGTGACCGTTGACGACGTTGAGAAACGTTGTTCTCGACCCGCGCAAGTTTCTGATTCTTCCCTCGGGCTTTTTCTTGCTTATTTGACTCACTGGTTCGTTTCAATGGCAAACACTCGTGCATCTTCCGCCTGCCTCACCACGCTGTCATTCGCCCCTTCATCTGACTGCTGCTTTCTGCCGCTGCCTCTTGTAGATTGATGTGCCCGGGCCAACCCTGGTCATCAAGCTTAACCAACAAAGGCAATCAGCACTGTTACATTCCGAAGCAAAGACGTCCGGCCCCACTTCCATCCACATTCTGTCATCTTATCTAAAGGTTGAGGACCTTGGGACAAACATTTCCTCCTATCGGCGCATTTGCGAACCATGCATCCGTTCCCAATCACATGGCTCGTGGCTGGTCGAGCTGGGCTGTGGAAGCCTATAGTCATGTGCCAGCTGTGGCAAACAGATGAATTACTGTCTCAAGAGGGAAAGTGGAAGATGCCGGGATGCCGGCTCGGGACAGCATCCGAGAAGGCTATCAGGAGTTGCCGTTGGCTCTTTAAATGATGAGTAGTCCCTTCCAGTCGACTTAGGCTCCGAGCTGTGGTTCTGGCTGTTAGACCTTTGTTGACATTGAAGTCCAGCACCATGAAGTACTTCAGTCGTATCGGTGCCCTGGCAGCAGCCCTCTTGGCAGCTACGCCATGTGAGTTATTGCATCTGTTGTCGAGGGTTCAATAGCTAATGCCGATGCCCAAGTGTTTGATGGAGTCGCCGCCCAGGCGACCACCCCGACTGTCTGGACCGAACCAGGAACCGGCATTGTCTTCAACACTTGGTCCGCCACTAATGCCCAGACTGCGGGAGGCATGACCTACGGTTTCGCCTTGCCCCAAGACGCCTTGACGACGGACGCCAACGAATACATTGGTTACCTGGTACGTAAGCTACCTCAACCTGTGTCGTGTTTGACTGACACCTAGCCTTCAGCAATGCTCTTCCAAGAACGGCCAGGGCACCGGCTGGTGTGGACTCTCCCTTGGCGGCTCCATGACTAACCAGCTCCTCCTCACTGCTTGGCCCAACGCCGGAGAGGTCCTCACTTCCTTCCGTTGGGCAGTCTCATACGACATGCCCGAAGTCTACTCTGGCGATGCCAAGCTCACTCAGATCTCGTCAACTGTCAACGCGACGCATTACACCCTCATCTACCGCTGCCAGAACTGCTTTAAGTGGAACCACGAGGGCGTCACTAACGGCGTGTCGACGACCGCCGGATTCTTCATCCTCGGCTGGGCACAGGCATTCACCAACCCTACCAACCCATCTTGCCCCGCCGACATATACCTTGTCCAGCACGAAAACCAGGGCATTCACGGTGCCGTCCCGGATGCCAGCATCGCAGACCCGTCCTACTCTGCCTGGGTTGCCCTAGCGACCAAGACAGTCACTGGCAACTGCGGAGGTGGTGGCGGTCCTACGGCCACTTCCGCCCCGCCCTCGTCCACGACAACTCGGCCTCCCACGGGACCCACTGGCGTTCCTGTTCCCTCCGGCACATACGATTATATCGTGATCGGCGCGGGTGCCGGCGGTATTCCTCTGGCCGACAAGCTGAGTGAGGCAGGCAAGAGCGTTCTGCTGATCGAGAAGGGCCCGCCGTCTTCCGGCCGCTGGGGCGGCACCATGAAGCCTACTTGGCTCGAGGGCACTAACCTGACCAGGTTCGATGTACCCGGTTTGTGCAACCAGATCTGGCGCGACTCGGCTGGCATCGCCTGTCAGGACACCGACCAAATGGCTGGGTGTGTTCTCGGTGGAGGCACCGCCATCAACGCTGCTCTCTGGTGGAAGGTGAGTCGGGTCAATCATGTATCGTGACTCCATATACTGATCGATCCCCAGCCGTATGCTCAGGATTGGGATTACAACTTCCCTAACGGATGGAAGTCGGGCGACGTCGCCGGTGCAACAAGCCGCGTCTTCTCTCGCATTCCCGGCACCACCACTCCCTCCCAGGACGGTAAGATCTACCTTACAGATGGCTTCAATGCCATCGCCAGCGGCCTGCGCACAGGCGGCTGGAAGGAGGTTGATCTTAACGCGAACCCCAACTCCAAGAACCGCACGTTTGGCAAGACGCCCTACATGTACTCTGGAGGTGAGCGCGGCGGCCCCATGGCCACGTACCTCGTCTCGGCGAACACACGTAGCAACTTCAAGCTGTGGACCAAGACGGCTGTCAAGCGTGTTGTCCGCACCGGCGGCCACATCACTGGCATCGAGGTCGAGCCGTACCAGGAGGGCGGGTTCGTCGGCACGGTGAACGTGACCCCGGTCTCGGGCCGCGTGGTCCTGTCCGCCGGCACGTTTGGCAGCGCCAAAATCCTGCTGCGCAGCGGTATCGGCCCAACGGATCAGCTGCAGGTCGTCAAGGGCTCCGTCGACGGACCGACGATGATCGCCAACTCGTCGTGGATCAACCTTCCTGTCGGCTACAACCTGGAAGATCACACCAACGTGGGTTCCGGAGATACAGTGGCTAAGATTTGGGACATAATGCTTACTCGATTATAGACCGATTCCGTCGTCAGCCACCCGAGCACGCAGTCTTACGACTTCTACCAGGCTTACACCGACCCCAACGTCACCGACAAGAACGCATACCTCCAGAAGCGCAGCGGCATCCTGGCGCAGTCCGCACCCAACATCGGACCTTTGTGAGTTAGAGCGGTTCGCGCCCTTACCCACGCCGTCGTTACTGACCCCCAGGCCAGGTTCTTCGAGGAGATCAAGGGCGCCGACGGCATCACCCGCCAACTGCAGTACACGGCCCGCATGGAGGGCAGCCTTGGCGTTCCCGATGGCCGTAAGTCAACCCCTTTTCGCCCCCTATCCGCCCCCTTGTTCAGAGCATATTCCCCTCCTTCTTATCTCTTAACGACTAACGTTTCCGCAGAGGCCATCACCATTAGCCAGTACCTCGGCCGCGGCGCCACATCCCGCGGCAGGATGACCATCGGCGCCAACCTCGGCACTGTCGTCTCCACGGTCCCTTACCTACGCGATCAGAACGACGTCGAAGCCGTCATCAAGGGCCTCGAGAACCTGCAGACCTCACTTAAGAGCGTGCCCAACCTTGTCTGGAACTTCCCCCCGCCGGGCACCACGGTCCGCGACTACGTCAATAACATGGTCGTTTCCTACTCGAACCGCCGCGCGAACCATTGGATCGGTGAGCCCTCCCTCTTCCCTCTCTCCTGGTGCCCCAATGCGGAAAGAAACAAAACCACGCGCATTCTGCTTTTCCTTCGAGTTGCTGGGTTACCGCATGACCACTCTTGAACTCTCACTAACGTGCTTACTTGCGTGCCACAGGGACAAACAAGCTCGGCACCAAGGACGGTCGCAGTTCGGGCGGCGACTCTGTCGTCGACGTCAACACAAAGGTGTACGGTACCGACAACCTCTTCGTCGTCGACGCCAGCATCTTCCCAGGCATGGTCACAACCAACCCCTCGTCGTACATCGTCGTCGCTGCCGAGCACGCTGCCGCCAAGATGCTCGCCCTTGCAACCTCTACAGCCCAGCCCCAGTTCGGGCAGTGCGGCGGGTCGACGTGGAACGGCAGCTTCCAGTGCGCTACTGGCCTGACGTGCACCGCCAAGGATGCCTATTACTCTCAGGTACGTTCATTCTGTTCTTCCCCTCCCCTCTTCTCTCGTCTACAGTTGTGTCTACTCCGGAAGGCCTCCCGTGACAGCTTCCCCTGAGAGAGACATGCGAGAAAAGACGAAGTCCGATGATGCTAACATGGGTGGTTGGACAGTGTCTTTAAATGAGAGTTGCGAGAGCAGGGCATTTCCAAGGCACGAGGAGTGCACGCGGGCGCGTTTCCCTTTACCCTCACATGCGGGCACCTACGAATTCTTCTTTTTCATAAACCCTCTCCAAACTCCACAAGTACATATGTATTCCTTTATTTCTCGTATATATTATGACACTTTTATGACCCCCAACCCTTCCGAATTATGCCCCGTTCCGTCGACCCGCCGCTGGAGAAGTGATGCGCGCCAATGAAGCGGTGCATTTGGTTACCCCACACCGCAACCCAATTTCACATGCCCGGCCATTAACTACCTACCTAATCAGCGCTCGAACGCTCGTCGCTTGTTTATTTGACAACGGCCCCAGAAAGAAAGCTACCGGCTCGTGCCTGGCGAGAAACCACGTGCCGAAAGGGAGGGGCGGCAACGGCGTGTGGACACCCGCCCACCGGTTTCCAACGGTTGCAATTTGGACTGATTCAAGCGCTCTGCATCGAGTCGTTCCTCGTGTTCCGTGGTACACCAAACAAGCTAGCTTCCTTTTTGGGAGCGGTCGCCCGTGCTGATCATCTTTTATTGTTTGCCTTGTTGTTCCCCGCGTGACCATAGTTTGAGTGTGCCAAGCACACACACGCACGCATACTCTAATAACCATCCCCCCACCTTGCGTCGTACGTCTACCCGCCGGCGCACAGTCTGAATAACCTTACTGCTACGCTTGACGGAGTGGCCCCGGCTCCGTAGTCCCCGCCATATGCGCACCTCGTACTAGGGTGGCGCCGGGGTCTTCTATCCCGGCAGTGTGCACCCTGGCTCGGTGTAATGATGAGTCTTTACGGATACTGCTGCTGTACTTTGATACCCGCCTGCCCCCGCCATGAATCTCCCACTCAGCGAGATGAGAAGATTTCTTGCGCCCTCGATGATGATGTTCAAGTACCATCATTACGTTTCCCTGAATCGCGTCTGAGGGCTGACAGCTCGGGGGGGGGGAGATATGATAAAGCCTGCTCGCCCCAGTCTCGAGCTGTCTCTCCCCTTCCTCCCCCCGTGCCTCTCTCCCCTTCGAGTGACCTCGCGATAGCCACCAAGGCGCACCCACAACGCAGTCCCCTCCCCCTTCCCTCCTCACCGTCCAGCATGGTATCGCTCAAGACCCTTCTCAGGGCCGCCGGCCTGGCCGCCACCGTGGCCGTCGCCAGCCCGATCCACCAGTCCCTCGACCTGGTCGGCGCCTCCTCCTCCTCCCTGGCTACTCGTGCCGACCCGAGTCTGACGGGATACCTCGGCGCGTTCTTCCTCGGAGCGGACCCGTACGTCTACCTGTACCTCTCCCAAGGCAACAGCGCGACCTCGTTCCGCGCCCTCAACGGCGGCTCGCCCGTGCTCCGCCCGACCAAGGGCACCGGCGGCGTGCGCGACCCGTCCATCGTCCAGGGCGGCGGCGCCGACAAGGACAAGAAGTGGTTCATTATCGGAACCGATCTGAACATCGATAAGGTACGTTCTCACCCCCCCTCACTGCCCGTTGTGGCGTTCTGTTATGGCTCGCGGGGGCGATGTGTGCTGACACCATATCTTGTCAGACGACCTGGGATGCCGCTCAAAGGCAGGGATCTAGGGGCATCTTTGTCTGGGACAGCACGGATCTCGTCAACTGGGGCAACGAGAGGTTCGTCGTCGTCGAAGACGCCAGCGCCGGTATGGTCTGGGCCCCCGATGCCATCTGGGACCCGACAAAGGGACAGTACCTGGTCCACTGGGCGTCCAAGTTCGTAAGTCCTCCCCTCCCTTCCTCCCTCTCCCTGTCTGCCGTTTCCCCCCCGTTGGACAAGAAGACAACCCGGACTTCTGACCCCTCCGCGCCGCAGTATGCCGCCTCGGACCCCAACCACACCGGCGCGCCCGGGTCCACCGTGATCCGCTACGCCTACACCTCCGACTTCCGCACCTTCTCGACCCCCCAGACGTTCATTGACAAGTCGCCCACCGACGTCATCGACCTCAACATCCTGCCCATCTCCAGCGACGGCCGCTCCTTTGCGCGCTTCCTCAAGGACGAGACCCTCAAGACCGTCTTCGTCGAGGTCACCACCGACGGCCTGTTCGGCACGTGGACGCGCCCCGGCGGGAGCTCCGCCACCATCGCCAGCGGCGTCGAGGGCCCCGCCGCCTACTGGGACAACCAGGTCGCCGGCAAGGCCCACGTCCTGCTCGACTTTTACGGCGACGACGGGTACCGCCCGTACGAGACGGCCAACGTCGCCAGCAACGCGGGGTGGAGCGCCAGCCCGCGCACCGGGTTCCCCAGCGGCCTGAGACACGGCAGCGTGCTGCCGATCAACCAGACGGTGTACGATGCCTTGGAAACGCGCTGGGGCTGAATTGGTTGAAAAGGGGTGACATTATATTCATGTAATTAAATCGGGGATGGCGTCGAGCGTATACACACTCACGCACGCAAATATATATTACATTTGTTGAAATGCCGGGCGGCGCAAGTTCGCTTCGCCCAGGGGTGTCTCCTAATATCTTCTCTCTTTCCATGTCGCAATTATTTCCTCCTTGACAGCGTACGCAGAGAGAGCACAGTCTTACTTCGTCTCAACTTCCATGCTCACATGTCGTCAATTATGGTCATACTTCTGTGACGGAAGTTCTGAGGCGTTGTTGCCCATCCCCGGAGGATTGACGGCGGGCGCTTCGGACACACGCCAGCTGTCTTCCTTTACGGGGCTCTGCGGCGCGGCGACGGTTTGGTGGGGGGTCCCGGAGGGAGGCATTGCGGAATAGACGTATGGCTGATCCATGGCGGTCGGAGGAGCGGCAGAAGCCCCGCCCTTTTCCCGGTGGCCGCGTAGGAAGACCCAGAAAATACAAAACAGGGTAAGACCTATGACGGCTAGTCCGCCAACGACACCGCCGGCGATGGCACCGATAGTCGCGCCCGAGAGACCATGAGAGGGAGCTAGTGTCGTGGCCTCGGAAGGAGTGTTGTCGATAGCAGAGTCTGGTGTCGCAGTCTCGGATAGAGTGTTGTCGGTGGCAGAGGCTGGTGCTGTCGTGGTCGACGTTGACGTGGTGGTGATTTCTACTGATGTCGATTGACGTGGGGTCTCGAGGAGAAGCTGGGGACCCGCGACAGGGTAGTTACCGCATTGAAAGCCCGTGATGGTGGCATAAGAGCCACCCTTTACAGTCTTTTTTGGCCGTGATGCACAGGGGGTACTTGCTATCGTTGCTGTCGTTGTGGTGTGTCAGTTTTACGAACGTACACATATTGAAAGCGCATGTTCGCCAAAGGGTGAGGCAAAAGCAAAAGTTGAGACGAACCAGCAGGCCGTGCTGGGACCTATGTTCAGGTCACTGCATATTGTATGGATCCCGTCAATGCAAGCTGTGATCAGCGACAAGCTCGACGAGCTCGAGCAGCCAAAGTAGCCGTTTGCTGTGAGACACGTCTCGCCGCTATCACACTCGAATGGATCGTTGTCTGCCAACAGGATATCAGTGTACCGAGATTGAGTTGGCGTTCAAGGAAAAGGCAACATACCTATACTGTAGTATCCGCACACAGTGTTCGCCTGTCTCTTGAAAGCCACGGCCGCGAACCGCGGGCTGGGGGGCGTCGTCGGCGCAATGGGCCAGTATCCGACCTCATTCTGGACCTGGAGTGTCTGAGAAGACAACAGCGCCTCGCGACTGCCGACCTTGACGGCTGCGGCCGGGAGAACTAACCCTACCAGCAGCAGGACCTCTCCCACAGCAACCATGGCATCGACAGCGTGATAAAGCAAGGAATGGAGCAAGGAAAGGCCAGGCGGATTGAGATGACACGATAAGTGAGGAAGAATGACACTGACTGAGTTTGCTTCCGCCACCACTATCAGACGCGGACAGTGAAGTTTGAGATGTTCTCGAGAGGAACAGGGGAGATTTCCGACTATTTAAAGGAACAACTTTGCGAGAGAGTTTCGAAGGCGGCAGACCGAGTCAAAAGCCCTCGCCTGGGGACAGAGATAGGAAGGAAGAGGGGGGGCTGAGCTGGCTGAAGTATGAAACCAGGTAGGAGGATAGAATGTCTCTAAGTTAGTATGCAGCTCGGCCAATGATGGAATGGGTCGCCTTGATAGCAGACTGTCATGACAGGTAGCAACACTCGGGAATAGGGACCTGCGGAAAAGCGACGGGACCAAGGTACCGTATCCACATGTCAGATTCATCCTCCATTTCTCTCTAAGGGGCTAAGCTACCGCCGGCTCGCCGTACCTATGCGGCCCTGCGTGTGTAGTGCTGGTAGAAAGAGGGCTTAGGGTGACTGTTTGCGGACCTGGATTCAAAATCATATTTCAGTGTTTAAGCGGCCAAGTTAACGCACCCACTTACTGATTACATCCCCTTTCTGGCCGCACAAGACGCCTTGTCACTAGTACCACGAGTTACGCTGCCTCAGAGTAGCCGTTCCAGTGTTATTTGGCAAGTAACATGTCGACTTGTACAGTACTAAGTCAAAAGTCTCGCCACACCAATATGAATAGCCCGACGGAGAGTCAAACAGTGTCTCAACCACCTACCGTAGCTTCTGATTGACGGTTCTTATCGGTGTGGCCAGACCTTGTCCTAGTACTGTACGGTGGAAGAGACCGATAGACCTGGCTACGACGAAGACAGGGTCAGCTTCCCTGTCACTAGCAATTAGAGGGAGGCGGAGAAGGCGACCAACTAGAAGACGACGACACCATCGCCAATGACGACCAAACCACACCGCCCAAGCCGTCAGCTTGAGGTGGTGTGGACGGCCAGACAGCCATCCTAGATATTTTGCCAGTGTGTTTCTTTTGTCGGCCTCGCTGCGGTTCGAAAGATCCGTACATGATCTGGACTGATTGAAGATTCCTTCCGTCGATTCGAGGGAGTCGGAGGGGGGAGGGGGACGAAAGCCGGACAGAGGAGGTGAGGAGGCCGGATGAGTTGAAGAGTGCAATAGCAGGTAAGGCTGTGGGCACCTCTATCTTGCAGATGCGCCAAATTGCCGATACCCCCTGCGGGATCCTATTCAAGTAAGAGGTTTAAAGTCTTAGTAGAAAGCAGTTTATAGTATAGTTATATGTAACGTACATAATAAGCGAGCGCGCCAGACAAGCAAGCGCGCCACTAAACCACGACCATCTGACTATCTAACCTTTCCCTTTTATTCCTCTACTAATAACAATAAAATCAACTTATAATAAAGCCTAGGTATAGCTAGCTGTCTAAGCGTATAAAAAAGATCTAAAACTTAGTATTTAAGCTGTAGTAAAGATATATAACGTTAGTTATAATTTAGTAATATATTAATTAAAAGGTATACTATTATAACGTAGTATTATACCTAACTTATAGAATTTAATAGAACTTAAAGAGAGAAAGCTAGTTAAGTTTATTTTTAACCTAGATTCTTAATTATTTTCTCCCTACCTTAATAGTATTAAAAAAATAGCTAATTAACTACTTACTAACTATAATATGCCTTTAGTTAGTAAGTGCTAGGCCTTAAACTTTATTAAATAAACACTAGAGCTCTAAACGTGTTTTTTTTATAAGTATAACTATAAAAGGGCTTAATATAAAGATCTAGACGTAATAAATATATAGTTTTACTTTATAGTAAATATAATTATAAAATATAGTATTATAAAGTCTAATATTTATAACTTTAATAAGACTAGCTTTATAATAAGCTAGATTATATCTAAAATAGTTATTATAAGCTTTAAAAGATATTTAAATATAAAAATAGTATAGCCTAGAAATTAAAAATAGATTATAGTTATTTAGGCTATTAGTTTATTTAGTTATAGCGTCTTACTATATATTATTATTAGAGGTAAAAAAATTTTTTATACTTAGTATATAGAATCTAGTCTTTTACCTAACTAAGTTATTATAATATCTAAAAATAAGTAAATAATAAATAAAAAAAAGCTTAAATTAGCTTTAGTACTTTAATTAATATTTAAAGTTATATATAAAAAAAGAATATTACTTTTTTATTATTAATAAGTATAAAAGTTACTATTTTATAGACTTTAAGCTATATTATAAGAAAAATAATATTATTACTTTTTATATACTACCTTATTTATCTTATTTACTTTAGCCTTTAGATATTAGGTGTTTTAGGCCTTTAAAGCTAGTATATAGTTAAGAAATTAAGGATAAAATATAATAAAGTAATACCTATATTATAAAAAATAACTTTTTTTTAGTATTTTATAACGCCTTTAAGTAAGCTCTTATAAAAGTAAATATTTAAGAAGGCTTTAAAGAGATAAGGCTTATCTTTTTAAGTCTAAAAAGTGTACTATTAAAGCTAGATATTAAGTTATACACTTTAATACCTTTAGGATCCTTTTTAATAACACTACTAGCTTAGACTTTTTAAACACTATATAATATAATAAAAATATCTTCTTAAGGAACTCTTATTAAGGATTACTTTATTAATTATTTAGATAGCTCCTTAATATATAGATTAATAGCTACTAAGTATATTCTTAAAAAAGTATTAAGAATTATATATAAAAATACTTTATTAAAGGCTAAAGTTAAAACCCTTTATAAAGAGAATAACCTACTTAACTAATATAGAAAAGTAAAAAAAACTTATCTAAAGTAAAAAAGGAGTCTTAGTATAGCTAATATATAAGATATTTAGTTATAAAGAGAGGTAATAACCTAGATTAAAGAGGAAATATATTAAAGTAGTAGTTATAGATTAAAGATAAAAATAGGTAAATAGTAGTGTAATACCTATAGGAACACTAAATATAATATATAAATATACTAGTTTAATAAAAAAATATCTAAAGAATAGGATTCTAAGTAGTTTAAATTAATTTTATTATTTTATAGTTACTTCTTAGTTATATTTATAAGGTAGCTATAATTAGGTAGCGCGCTTGCTTGTCTGGCGCGCTTACTTATTATATACGTTATAATTAAGTTGTTTTATAATAATAAAAAAAGAAGGGGGGGGGGGGGGGGGGGTTTAAAGAAGGTTCTTTTGCTTTTTTAGACGCTAATCTTGTCTTGCCTGCCGGCTGGGTCAGCTTAGCTCAGCTTAGCTCTTTCCCCCTGTGCCTGCGTCTATTTTTACGGTTATCACAACGTGCAGTCATGTTCGTTCCTTCCTTCCCCCCTTTAATCGCCTGCTCGTGTCACCAGAGGAGAGCAAGCACAATCAGCACGACCAGCATAACCAGCACCACTGACATTTGTCACTGTGGCCTTCCTATAGTACCTTCCGTGTGGATTATCATGTGCTATATCACGTGGCGTTTCGCTTGTTACTAGCATTACTAGCCTATAGATAGGACCTTTCCTTTGCGTCTAAGCTTCTATGGGAATAAGTCTTTTTGCTCCTATTCTCAGATGCCCCTACTGTGTCCTCTAACTTGTGACAACATGTCTAATAGCCGTATTCGTAAATTTTAAGATAAGAATTATTGTCTTCATAATGTCTAAAGCTTTACAACCTTCTTAGTATTGCTTCTAGCCCTCTACGTTTTCTAAAGCTTACTTATATTTTGTAATTACAGAAGTAAAGGACGACCCGGACAAGCCCTCGATGATCCTAGACAATCTTTTAACCCTCACTGGAGACTTAGCGCTAGGCTTAAACGTTCTTAGTAACTTCCAGCAGGATATAAACACGGGTGATTAACAAAACCGAACGCACGTCACCGCTTTTTATTCATTACCACAACATGCCTAATAATGCCTAATAAGCTTAGATGCAGTCTAAGTAACTTAAAACCACAGTTAGAAGCTACTAATAATACAAAGAAACATAAATTAGACGTTAAATAATAGAAGACTGTTATAAGTAGAAGCATACAGCAGGGTATATAAGAATAAAGGTAAGAGTTAATTAATATCTAGAAAAGAGGATATAGAAATAAGCCTCTCTATATAGACTATAAGTATAGATAATAAGAAATATAGCACGTAATATAGTACATAAGAGTGCTAATTTAGTATATATATAAATAAATAAGTAAGGTTATTATAACATATTATTAGAGGTAAGGATAGTATTAAGTAAAGAAGTTAGTAATAGGCGTAGTTAGGGTTTAATTATAATAATTATTCTAATATACCTCCTCTAACCTCTATCTTTTATAAAGTTTTCTTTTTTTATTATTCCTTTAGTAACTAGTTTATCTAGTCCTAGTCCTACTCTAGTGCCCCCCTAGGGCCTTGCTCTAGGCACCTAATATAATCCCCCCCCTCTAAGGTCCTGCCCTTAGGACCTTAAGTAGGCTATCTACTAGTAGCCTCTCTATTAGCTACTTAGACTATTTAATAGCTAAGCCTTACGCCTAACTCTTAATCTCTTAGGGCCTTAAGCTAGCTACCTACTAGTAGTCCCCTTATTAGCTACTTAGACTATCTAATAGCTAAGCCTTATGCCTTATACTTATCCTTTAGTATCTTAAGAGACGTCTAAAAACACTTACTAGGCCTAGTAGGCTACTAGATAAGTAGTTATCTCCCTAGCTAACTATTTACTTTTAGCTTTACTTTTATATTATTATATTTTAGCTAGGCCTTAACTACTACTTTTTTAGTGTAGTTTAGTCTTTTAGCCTAAAGTATAAGTCTTATATTACCTTACTTAGTAAAGGACTACTTACTTTATAATAAAGACACCTTATTTACTTATAATACTTTTTAATACTTTTTATTAATTAGGCTTTATAGTACTTTTTTAGGTACTATATACTTTTTA